TTCTTCACATGTACCCCAAAACCTAAAATGCAATTAAAAAAAAAGACATGGGAGGGGGCAGGAAAGGGCTGTTCTCCTTTACAGAATAAATGTAGAAGAAATGATGAAAATAGATAATCAGGCTGGCTACGGTGGCTCATACCTATAATCCCAGCACTTTGGGAAGCTGAGGTGGGTGGAACATGTGAGGTCAGGAGTTCAAGACCAAGCTGGCCAACATGGTGAAACCCCACCTCTACTAAAAATACAAAATTTAGCCGACTGTGGTAGCTGGCACCTGTAGTCCCAGCTACTGAGGAGGCTGAGGCAGGAAAATTGCTTGAACCTGGGGGGTGGAGGTAGCAATGAGACAAGACTGTGCCCTGTACTCCAGCCTGGGTGACAGAGCAAGACTCTGCCTCAAAAAAGAAAAGAAAATGATCATTAGGCAAGCATCACAGTAACTGCTGCAGGCAAGATTACAGAATACAGAATGAATGTTAAAATTTGTGGGCAAAAGTTTCATGAGAAACAGGATATCTTCATATCCTTAAAGTACCTCTTCATAAGATTTACTGATTTAGGGAGGATGAGGTGGGTGGATCACAAGGTCAGGAGTTTGAGACCAGCCTGGCCAACATGGTGAAACCCCATCTCTACTAAAAATATAAAAATTAGCTAGCCGTGGTGGTGGGCGCCTGTAGTCCCAGCTACTCGAGAGGCTGAGGCAGGAGAATCACTTGAACCTGGGACACAAAGGTTGCAGTGAGCTGAGATTGTGCCACTGGACTCCAGCCTGGGCAACAGAGCAAGACTCCATTTCGAAAATAAATTTATTGATTTATTAATTGCAAAGGAAAAAATCACTTATAGTGGGGAGCCTGGCAAATGCTACCTTAACCAAGCAGTCAAAGTTAACATCACCAGTAAAAAGACACGACAATATCACATGTCCTCCATATGATGTACTGAGGAGGGCCCAACTGTACTTTTCTGCCATTTTTGGGAAGACTGTATAGCCTCAATCTAACTGACAAAACATTAGACAAACTCAAATGAATGACTTTGTACCCGATAATTGATCAACAGTCTTCAAAAGTATCAAGTTCAAGAGAAACAGACCATTCAGAATGAACCATCATCAATTAAAACAGAAATGAATGAAAGAGGGAAGGAAGGAGGGAAGGGGAGAGGGGAGAGAGGGTGGAGGGGGGAGAGGGGAGAAAATCAAGGCCAGGCATGGTGGCTCATGTTTGTAATCCCAGCACTTTGGGAGGCCAACACAGGCAGATCACAAGGTCAGGAGTTCAAGATCAGCCTGGCCAACATAGTGAAACCCCATCTCTACTAAAAGTAGAAAAAAATTAGCCAGGCATGGTGGCGAGTGCCTGTAGTCCCAGCTACTTGGGAGGCTGAGGCAGGTAATCGCTTGAATCTGGGAGGCAGACGTTGCAGTGAGCCAAGATTGTGCCACTGCGCTCCAGCCTGGGCGACACAGTAAGACTCTGTCTCAAAAAAAAAGACTGACAAACTGGCAGAGATTGGAGGAGAGAAAAGAAACATGACAATTAAGGACAACATAGGAGCCTGAACTAGATCCTGGAGCAGAAGAAGTAGATTTGTGGAGAAATTGTCAAAATTCTGGTATGTAGATTAATTAATACTAGTGTCTCAATATTAATTCCCTGGTTTTGATAACTGCACTATGATTACAAAAGATGTTAACATTAGGGGGAGCTGGATGAAGAGTATCTGAGAATCCATATTGCTTTTGAAGCTTCTTTTTAAGTCTAACTTTTAAAAATCCCAAACTAGTTTTGCCCCCAAGACACTTAATGGAAGACGACGCAAATCCTCTCTGGAGGACAGTAACTTCAATCCAAAGATCAAATAATCTCCATAAATAGTTTTCGAATAAAAACAAGCAGAGTATAGGAAAAAAATTAAAAACAAACATACACCATGGAAACAAGGACTCATTAGGAAGAAGTGGTAGAAACAGATTCATAAACACTTCAGATCCTAATATTATCAGATGTAGATTATATAACTGTGCTATGTTTAGAGAAATAAAAATATTAAAAACATCTCCAGGGCACTGGGCGCAGTGGCTCATGCCTACAATCCCAGCACTTTGGGAAGCCAAGGCAGGAGGATCAAGAGGTCAAGAGTTCAAGATCAGCCTGGTCAATATGGTGAAACCACACCTCTACTAAAATACAAAAATTAGCCAGGCATGGTGGTGCATGCCTGTAATCCCAGGTACTCAAGAGGCTGAGGCAGGAGAATTGCTTGAACCCAGGAGGTAGAGATTGCAGTGAGCCTAGATCAGGCCATTGCACTCCAGCTCTGGGTGACAGAGCAAGACTCTGTCTTGTGGTGGGGCGGAGGGAATCTTGGTCAGGTGTGGTGGCTCATGCCTGTAATCCCAGCAATTTGGGAGGCTGAGGCAGGAGGATCACCAGAGGTTGGGAGTTCAAGAACAGCCTGATGAACATGGAGAAATCCCATCTCTACTAAAAATACAAAATTAGCTGGGCGTGGTGACACATGTCTGTAATCCCAGCTACTCAGGAGGCTGCAGCAAGAGAATCACTTGAACCCAAGAGGTGGAGGTTGCGGTGAACTGAAATAGCACCACTGCACCCCAGCCCGGGCAGCTGGGCAACAAGAGTGAAACTGTCTCAAAAAAAAAAAAAAAATCTCCAGGAAAGAGGAAAATGTAAAATATAACGTTCTCAGGTTGGGAAAAGATCCAAGATATCTAGAAATAAAAAATAATAACTTAAAATTAAAAACCCAGACCAGGTGCAGTGGCTCACGCTTATAATCCCAGCACTTTGGGAGGCCAAGGTGGGAAGATCACTTGAGGCCTGGAGTTCAAGACCAGCCTGGGCAACATAGAAAAACCCTGACTCTACTAAAAATACAAAAATTAGCTGTGCATGGTGGCACATGTCTGTTAATCCCAGCTACTTGGGAGGCTGAGGTATGAGAATCACCTGAACCTAGGAGGCAGAGGTTGCAATAAGCCAAGATCATACCATTGCACTCTAGCCTGGGCAACAGTCAGATTCTGTCTCAAACAAAAACAAACCCCCTCCCCACAAAACTCAATGGGTAGTATCAAAATTAAAGACTTCTAAGCATTAGAAGACATCATTAAGAAGATAAATCTATAAAGCTCAGATTGGAATAATGTTTACAACACATATATCTAACTTATATTCATGTACTGAGAAGGGCCAAACTGTTCTTTTGTGCTATTTTTTGGGAAGACTGCATAGCCTCAATCTAACTGACAAAACATTAGACAAACCCAAATGAATGACTTTGTACTTTCAGAATATATGAATTCAGAATATATGAAAACCTCCAACTCAAAAAAAAGACACCTAATTTTTTAAATGAGTAAAACATTTGAACGTACTTCACAGACAAAGATAAATGAATGGCCAATAGGCACATGAAAAAGTGCTCCACATCATTAGTGACCACGGAAATGTAAATTAAAACCACAATGAGATACTACTACATACTCATAGGAAGGCTACAATTATAAAGACCACCACCACAAAATGCTGGGAATGCCAACAACTGGAATTCCCAAACATTGTTGGTGGGAGTGTAAAATGGCATAACCTACTTTGGGGGAAAAAAGCTTTGCAGTTTCTTATTAACCTAATGGACAGAGTTTAAGAACACATGTGATAACTGAAGGGAAAATTACCAAATTAGAACACTAGTCAGAAGGAATTATCTACACTACAATACAGAGACAAAGATGGAAAATAGAAGAGCTATGTTAGTATATTCCCCGTAAGTTTAAACTGCAGTTCCAGAAAGGATAGAGTGAATGCGAGAGAGGCAATACTTGAGGAAATAATGACTGATAATTTCCTAACAATGAAAAACACCAATTCACAAACTCAAGATGCCCAAAAGAACCCAAAGCAGAATAAATAAAAAGAAATCCATACCTAGATATAAAGAAACTGTGGAACACCAAAGACTAAGAAAGGTGGTCTTAAAAAGAAGATAAAAGATGACTTTTCCAGAGAAAACACTTGGTTCCCCTAATGACCACTAACAGGGCCCTTATTAGCAGATCTCTTTAAAATAAAAAGACACATATAAAAATGTAATATGAAAAGACATTTTCTTGCTGAAATCTTTTAGTGGTTCCCTGGTACCAACAGGCACAAAAAGCCTTCTAAGGCCAGTCCCCTGCCATCCTCTAACTCCAATAATTCTTTCCCCTTTATCTTTCTTCTTTCCATAGACACGCTTCTTCCCTACTTTTCACAGGACGAACTCTGTCTTTCTAGACTTAGCTATAGCATCACCTCTTCCCAGAAGCTTTCTGTGCTCCCAGGCATTCCAGAGTAACCCTCCTTTGTGTTCTCAGCACCCCAGGCACAAACTCCAGCAGAGGATATATTACATTTTATGCCAGTTATCTTGAGTCCTTCACCTCATTTTAAGCTTTTTAAGGACAGTGACTATGTCTAATTCATTTTTATATTCCCAGTAGCTAGTCCAGTGCCTGGCTAAGAAATGCCTGAACTGAATGAAGGATCTGTCAAGACCGAAACAAACTGTCCTTGAGAAATAAAAGTTTAAATGTACAGTAGGTAACTACAGAATGAAATGAAAACAAGAAAAAAATCTCCAAGAAACTAGAGCAGACACACAGACCACAAATTTAAAATAAACGTCAACAAAAGTTTAATAAGCCTTTCTGTATGACTAGATTTATCCTAGGTGCTGGGGATAAAACAGAGAAGACAGATCTGGCACCATCTTAGATTTCAACAATGTCAGAGATGGACCTTCCCAAAATAAAAGAGAATCAGTTATTTGAACTCCTTCATTACACAGATGAGGAAACTGAGGCCCAGAAGAGATGCCTTGGTTACAGAGTAAGGGATAGGTAACCAAATAAGATACCAATTTAGGGAGAAAGGGAAAAAATGAAAAAGCAAACCACAAGAAACAAAGAACTATAATTTTTCCCCCCACATCAGACAGGTAATGTGCTGACAACATAATAAGGTTTGAGGAAGGCACATCTTAAAACAAATGTGAAAGCCCAATCATCATGTTTATGAACTACAAAAAAATCAAGGATCTATAATTTTAACAGCAATGCACTTGACAGTGAAAGGCTAAAGAAGGAGAAGAAACTAAAACAAAACTTAGACTTAGCAGAATCCCCATGCTTGCAAACATATATTAATAGGAAAACATTTTCTTTTCCTGGTCTCTCATCCTAGGCTTCAATTAGTTTGAAACTTATTTTATTACCTTAATTTCTTCCCTGCTACACTTTGAGCTCAAGCATTCAGGATATTTATTTAGCACATCATTAGTATTCAATGCATATTTGGATAATTAATGATTTACGTTTTCTTATTAGAATAAGTCCATTTTCCTTTCAACTTCTACTTTCATTTTTTAAAATAGGGCATCTTCTTTAGAGCTTGCATAGCATTACTTTGCTACCAAACGAAAGCAAACACAGAAACGAATACTTAACAATTTGTTCAGGTGAAAAATATGAGATTTTAACAAACTGAAGCTTCATATTGTTCAAGCTTGTTATTCTGTTTAACAATTATCTGTTCTCTGAACAACCCAAAGTTTGAAGCCTGAGAAGGCAGATGTTTACCCACATAGCCCACACTGAGTTTCTGGGTTCCTGTACCTTTATGTGGCTATGTGAGAATGGCTGTGGCTTTGGGCATCTGCTGTGCTACCTTACTAATGCTACCTTAGTCCAGACATGAGATGCAGCATATGAAACCCACCCTGTGGCCAAGATGTGTGTACAGGGATGTTCAATGTTTCTGATGGTGAAAAACTGGAGGCAACCTAAATGTTCACTGTTAGCAGACTGGATTAAAAACATTATGGTGTAACAGTGCAATGAAAATGCTATACACATCTACCCCAACATGGAAAGGCTTCAACAATGTAATGCTAAGTTTAAAAAAAAAAAAAAAAGCACGTTTGATCCCACTTTTATGCAATTATGTGCATATATTTATTTACATGTATACATGCATAGAAGAAAGCTTGTATGGCTATTCTTCAAAATGTCATTAGTAATATCACCTCTGGGGGGTGAGATTCCTGGCAAATTTTTACTTTGGATAAATTACTTTTTAATCAATATCTATTATTATAAATAATATTTAAAAATTACTTTTTAAATAACGTTAGAGGCCAGGCAATCACACCTATAATCCCAGCACTCTGGGAGGCTAAGGTGGGAGGATCACCTGGGGTCAGGAGTTCAAGATAATCCTGGCCAACATAGTGAAATCCTGTCTCTACCAAAAATACAAAAATTAGCCAGGCATAGTGGCGCATGCCTGTAATCCAAGCTACTCAAGAGGCTGCAGCAGGACAATCACTTGAACCACGCAGTGGAGGCTGCAGTGAGCGGAGATCACACCATTGCACTCCAACCTGGGCGACAGCATAAGACTCTGTCTCCAAAAATAAAAATAAATAAATAAAAAATCAAAAACGCCCCCCAAAAAACCCAAAAACAAGCAAACAAAAATAATGTTTGAATATTCTACTGAAATATATATTACCTTTTTTTTTTTTCCCTGAGACAGGGTTCCACCCTGTTGCCAGACTGGAGTGCAGTGTCGTGATCATGGCTCACTGCAGCCTTGACCTCCCCAGTCTCAGGTGGTCCTCCCACCTCAGGCCCACAAGTAGCTGGGACTACAGGAACACGCAACCACACTAGGCTAATCTTTGTTTGTTTGTTTGTTTTTCGTAGAGACAGGGTTTCATCATGCTGGCCAGGCTGGTCTCAAACTCCTGGGCTCAAGCGATCTGTGTGCCTCAGCCTCTCAAAGTGTTGGCATTGTAGGCATGAGCCACCGTGCCTGGTCTATCTCATTTGTTGATGCAAAATATTTATTTTTCCATCAAACTATTGATTCATTTGGCATGCTTTTGGCTGGAGGTTGTATTATCTTAATAATCAGGAGAAATAAAGCCTAAGAGTTCAAGGCTACCGCACGCTATGATCATGCCTGCAAATAGCTACTATACTGCAGCCTCGGTAACACAGCAAGACCTCTGTCTCTTGAAAAAAAAAAAAAAGGTAAATTCATAAGACATCAACCTAAGGAAAAAGGTGAAAGAAAAAAATTGTGTTGGTAACATCAAACAAAGATCAGGAATTTTAATAATAATGAGGCTGGGGCGAGTGATACAATAATCATAACAAATTAAGAAAGTGTAAGCTTAGAAAGATTGAGGGAGGAAAGGTGTCATTTGCTTTCTTTTTCTTTTTTTTTTTTAAGACCTTCAATTTTGAAAATGCACAAAGTTTCATGTTCCTGTGAGAGATATAAAGTATGAGACACAATCTTCATTCTTAAGTAGCTGAAAATGAGATGAAGCCTTATGAAGCAGCCAATAAAAGCACAAAATATTTGTATAAACTGGCAGGTGATTTGAGAAGTACACAAATAACTCAAGGCAGAATACAGGAATTATCTTAAGAACAGACAAAGTACATAGCTGTATGACCTTGAGAAAATTATCTAACCACTCTATACCTCAGTTTCCTCATCTGAAAGATCAGGTGATGCAAAAAAATACCTTTCAAGTTATGCTAGCATTAAAATGAAATAATGTATAAGAAATGTTTAGCACAGATCAAATATGTAATACACTATAGCTATAATTATTTATGATAAACTGAAAATTCCAAATAGAATATTGGCTTTAGCTCAAAGGAAAACATGCAATTTGAGAGTTGAAGCTTCAGAGGTAATCTTTTTCAAAGCCCTAATTTTGCAGGTGATGAAACTGAGGCATGGGTCAACAAAGTTAGACCCATGAAGATATAATTTGAGTGAAGGTTCCTGCCCAAGATCACAGAACTTGTTAGCTCCTGACTCCCATTTCAGTTTCTTCCAGTTCATTACCCCTTTTTAAGTCAAAACAAATAGTCACATATTGGATGATTTCCAGGGATGACAAAAACTCATCCCCTGGAATGAGGAAGGTCTGATGCCCCTAACAATGTTATTAATCATGTGAGGGAATGCCTAATAAAGTCAGTGGTTTACTGGTCATACTGTTTATAGGAGGCATGTATAAAAGCCACTACGTGACATTAAGAAGGTATATACCCACTATATAGGGGCATGTTTAATTTTATTTTATTTGAACTAATATCTAAATTAGAGCACAATAAAAGTTTTGTTATTATCCTTTCAGTCACTATCAGAAACGTAATCCCTCAGCATCAAAGACCAGCACAGCAGTACAAGCTTTAATTGAAAATGAAAAAAGGACAAATGTTAATACTGCCTTTGTTTCTGGAAAAGGACTATTATTCACTGTCAGATCCTTACTGCTGGTTATTAAAAACATTTCAGAAGTCAGAATATATCTTTTAATTTTTAAATATTATATGAGAACTCATAATAAAACAGGCCCCAGATATTACCAATACACTACATTGTACTCACAATTGGAGCTTTTTTTTTTTTCTTAACCAAAATGACACAATCCTCTGTGTTAACTTGATGGCCTGACACTTGGTTCCAACTCCAACATGGATGCAACACTACTATGCTTTGAACTGGGGATAGAGAGATAAATAAGACATAGTTCCTGTGGAAAACTCAAGGTCTAAAAAGAACATAGGCTCTTCTCTATCAGTTACTGTATTGTGTGACCACAGTCTGTGTCTTAGGTTCTTCCCTTAAGTTTAGGAGAAAGTAGTACCTACCTCATAAGGTTGAATGACTGAAATAAACACATGTAAAGTGCTTGGAACAGTGTCTGGTACACAGTAGGCAGTACATGTACTAGCTGTTGCCGTTACTGTATTCACCTCCATCATTATTATAAGCCAGCTCTAATAACCTGAAAGATCAACCCTGACTTTAGAGCGGATGTTTAAGTCACTAGCACAGAAGAGTTTAACAGATTAAATGTAAATAAGAGCAGACCTTAAAGAGCCCAAGAAAGAGCTTAAAATCTGGCACAGGGACAGATGAAAGACAGAGAGAAAGATACCCATAACAGAGGCAGAGTTGTAGAAAATTTAGACACTTGCTTTCATCTATGAGTGGTAGTTAGTAATAACAGAGAGAACTTAAAAAGGCTTGCAGCTAAAGGGGGAGAGTGGATATAAAAATGCAACCAAGGCCGGGCGCGGTGGCTCAAGCCTGTAATCCCAGCACTTTGGGAGGCCAAGGCGGGTGGATCACGACGTCAAGAGATTGAGACCATCCTGGTCAACACGGTGAAACCCCGTCTCTAATAAAAATACAAAAAATTAGCTGGGCGTGGTGGCGCGTGCCTGTAATCCCAGCTACTCAGGAGGCTGAGGCAGGAGAATNGCAGGAGAATTGCCTGAACCCAGGAGGCAGAGGTTGCGGTGAGCCGAGATCACGCCATTGCACTCCAGCCTGGGTAACAAGAGCGAAACTCCGTCCCCAAAAAAAAAAAAAAAAAAAAAATGTAACCAAGCTAAAATAATTACTACTCTGCTAAACTGAGGCACTGCACAGTTCCCAATAACATGTCCACCTTGGAACAGGCTTCTCTATTTCTTCAAGGGTGAAAATACTATGACTACCTTGAGCTTCCTGCAATGTGAAATCTTTATACTGTCAAAAGGAGATTTCATGAAAATGCTTGGAAAATAAATTGAGAACCTTTTCGTAATAAACAGGAAGGCTAAGGGAAGATTGACAGTTGGTATGACATTCTACTCAGCAAACTTTAACTTAGGATAGGGATGGGAATGGGCTACAGTATACACTGAGGAGCCCTTCACTGGAGACAAGTGACGACACAGGGACACATTCAGGATTCTCTCAGGAAATGGCAGTCATGTCTAATCCCAATAAAGAAAGGAAACTCTAGTGTTTTTAATACTCCCCCACCCACACCCATTTTGGTCATATGGCTCACCAAGAGACTTACTTAGACCTAAAGAGAAGCTTAAAAGGTTAAAGTGTTCTTATTTGGAACTGGAGAAGGGTTAGGGAAAAATTCCTTTCCAAACTGATGGTCACTTTCTTCTTCCCACCACCATAAAAACAAGGTTTTTGTTTTTGCTTTTTTTCTGA